TTAATTGCTAATTTCTCGACTTCTATTCAAGATAGATAGATAGATACTTTTTTCATCAAAAGCAAGACAAATGAACGTGCTTTAAGATGATAACAGTAACTCTATAAGCCCAAAAGTTGACGAGCTCCTGATTCCTCCGTGTCATGACACATTATATACACAGTTTGTGTGTATTTCTTCATTCCGACTTTGATTCCCAGGTTGCTGGGAGGATGAAGTGCTGCAGTACATTCTGAAATATCTGGTCCTTGGGAACACGGAAATCAGAACTGACCTCATTCAGACTTTGACTGACGGCAAGAATGCACAATACGTAGACAAGGTCGGTTTTACCAAAACTAGTCAAAATAAAAGTGGGTTTTACCAAAACTAGTCAAAATAAAAGTGGGTTTTACCAAAACTAGTCAAAATAAAAGGTGGGTTTTACCAAAACTAGTCAAAATAAAAGGTGGGTTTTACCAAAACTAGACAAAATAAAAGGTGGGTTTTACCAGAACTAGTCAAAATAAAAGGTGGGTTTTACCAAAACTAGTAAAAATAAAAGCTTTAATTTGCTTGCTAAGTTTTTCCTACAAACAAACAGTATCCTCTCACAATTTGAATGAAGTATATTTTGCTATTTTTGTGTGTTAAACAATAACATATAGCCTATATATTTTCTGTTGTTGCAACCACTCTCCAGTAAAACCTCTAATCTTCAGAACTTATAATAATCGTGACCTATTTTTGTTGCAAGATCTTGTCAGTATGTTAGTGTTTTAGCGCCTATAAATTTCTGCTTGCACTGTATGCTTCCCAGGAAGTTAAGGTTGTTTCAGAATGCTCTCAGGTCTGCTGGGGTAATAGTATAGATTATGAAGCGCATAGAGCTTGTATCAGAATGCTCTCAGGTCTGCTGGGGTAATAGTATAGATTATGAAGCACATAGAGCTTGATTCAAAATGCTCTCAGGTCTGCTGGGGTAATAGTATAGATTATGAAGCGTATAGAGCTTGCTGCTGAGCGGGGATTTGCGCTATAAAAATACTATCTATTATCTATTATTATAAAATTGTTACTCATACAAGTCTGGGTTCCATCAACATTCTCCCCCCCCCCCTTCCCCCACAGACAATCCCGTCTTTCGTTGAGCTGGTCAAGGTCCTCAGTCACTTCTGCCGCAACCCCGACCCCGATGACATCATCGCCTTCAACTCGGCCGTCTGTCTGGGCCGGCTGTGCGTGCGGGACGAGAGCGCTCAGAACCGTCTGGTCAAGGCCATGGAGGAGTCCAAGGACAATCACGTCCGGGCCAAGGTGTGTGAGATAGCCAAGTAACAGTTCTGGCTCGAAACTTTGCACAAAATATGAAACTGTTGGAAGAAAATAATTTAACAATATTAATGATAATAATGGTGATGATGATAATGATAATAATAATAATAATAATAATAATAATAATAATGATAAAAATTAATAATTATAATATTAATAATGACAACAAGAATAATAATGATGATGATAATAATAATAATAACAATATTTATAATGATAATAATAATAATATAATAATAATAATAATAATAATGATAATAATAATAATAATAATAATAATAATAATGTAGATCATATTTCTGGTGCCTACTCCTATGTGCACACAGCTCTAAGTGCTTTTCGTAGATCAAAATACAAAGAACAATTACTGTAAAAAAATGCAAATGTATTTGAAGACACATAAACATGCAAGTTTTAGTTGTTTTTGGAGGATTTGATCAAATTTTGCCAAAATGGCAGCTTTCCTGGGTGGAAAATCATAGCTAGCCCCAACTGTATCAAATGAAACAAATGAATCAATTGAGCTGAATGATCCAAATGAATCTAATGAACCAAATGAACTGAATAATCCAAATGAACAAAATAAACCAAATAGACCAAATGAACCAAATGAATCAAATGAACAAAGTGCACGACGTACATCATGTATAAGACCTGACTTTCCCTCCCTACATTAATCAGAGCATATAAGACCTGACTTTCCCTCCCTACATTAATCAGAACATATAAGACCTGACTTTCCCTCCCTACATTAATCAGAGCATATAAGACCTGACTTTCCCTCCCTACATTAATCAGAACATATAAGACCTGACTTTCCCTCCCTACATCAATCAGAACATATAAGACCTGACTTTCCCTCCCTACATCAATCAGAACATATAAGACCTGACTTTCCCTCCCTACATTAATCAGAACATATAAGACCTGACTTTCCCTCCCTACATCAATCAGAACATATAAGACCTGACTTTCCCTCCTCCCTATATCAATCAGAACATATAAGACCTGACTTTCCCTCCCTACATCAATCAGAACATATAAGACCTGACTTTCCCTCCCTGCATCAATCAGAACATATAAGACCTGACTTTCCCTCCCTGCATCAATCAGAACATATAAGACCTGACTTTCCCTCCTCACTGCATCAGTCAGAACATATAAGACCTGACTTTCCTTCCCTGCATCAGTCAGAACATATAAGACCTGACTTTCCTTCCCTGCATCAGTCAGAACATATAAGACCTGACTTTCCTTCCCTGCATCA